GCCCTTCAGATTTGTGGATGACATTTATTCGTCAGTTTTTGCCATTAAAACTAGTATCATAGATAGCACTAAAAGAAACAAACAATTCAAAGTTCAAGGAATTCCAACTTTCTCGCATACAGTGGATATACATACATGTCACCAGTAACTTTGAATGCTTGCACAGTTCACTGAATTAGGAAGGAAAATAAACAGTAAACATAATAAATATAAATCAACAATGTTTCCAATAGTAAAACAGTTCAACTAAGACAATGTGATGCAAAGGAAGACTGATACAGTATTTTCAACCTGAATGGGATCTAACTTAACACATGGATGAAACAGCCAGGTACAAAACCCCAAGACAAAGGTAAGGGCACAAAAAAAAACCAGGGCAACTAATATACTGCCTAAGCAGCTGCTCATAACAAAATACTGTGATTGAATGCCACTTTTATAAACCATCAAGTGCTGAAGGTGTGAAAGATGTGGATCAAACTTTGGACCTTCCTATCTAAAGTCTGGCACAATGACCACGAGGCCTTGCCCAGCCAAAAAGAGTTATAATACTAAAACAGCTCTTCTGCCTAGTTTTTACACAAAACATTAGCGATCAGATATACTTTTCTGTATAAAAAAAGATGAAAAAATCACCAGGTCAAGATAAACTCTGAAAGTTATAATATGTTTTTTTTGTTTGTTTATTGTTAAGTGCAAAGCTACACAAAGGGCTACTTGTGCTGTGCCCACCGTGGCATTATAAGTCTTCAGATTTACCACTGAGCCATGACTGTTGCGGGGAGGAGTAATTATATGCCATTGAAATTGTTCCACTACAATGTTTCTTAAGAGCATTGTTAGCGATGAATTCTACCACATATCATCATAGTATATTCACTCTGAACAGAAGTAATGTACAGGTGAGATTGTTATATGTTGAGGAAGCCTGATTAAGCACTTTTAGGAATGTTAACAGTGTCTTTCTGCATGAAATACACTAACAATAAAGTTAGATTATTAACAGCTTTAGAAACATCTACTCAAGAAATTTTACACAAGTTTTTACATGCTTATCTTCTTACTGTTTTTGACAGGAGAAAAATGTGTTAACCCTAAAATGTGTTAAGCCATTAATATATAGTTTCTGTGAAATAAACTCTCTGGTAGGAAAACTAAAGCACTCTAGGATAAAACAATGAGAAACATAGTAACCTGTATTGGAGAATTTTTTTGACAGGAAGACTGATAAGACAAAGCTACATGCATTTACATAAGAATAATAATTATTCTTCATGTAAGCCTAAATTCATTGCTTACTAGTGTAGGTTGGTGTAGGAGAGAACCAAAGCTTAGGTGTAGCTAGGCATGAGGTATACAAGTTTTAAGGAAATGTACAAGCTCATTTTGAATTTTTGTACTCAGTCTACACACTTAGAATATTAATGATACAACTTGCAATTTTGTACACAAAAACTGAATAGTTCACTCACTTGAGGGACGAGGTGTGGTTTTCTTAACCACGGGATTTCCAATCACCAAACTTTCTTTCTTTAGTAACTGATACAACATGCAATTTTCTACACAAAAACTGAATAGTTCACTCACTTGAGGGACGAGGTGTGGTTTTCTTAACCACGGGATTTCCAATCACCAAACTTTCTTTCTTTAGTAACTGATACAACATGCAATTTTCTACACAAAAACTGAATAGTTCACTCACTTGAGGGACGAGGTGTGGTTTTCTTAACCACGGGATTTCCAATCACCAAACTTTCTTTCTTTAGTAACTGATACAACATGCAATTTTCTACATAAA